GCGCCGTGCGCCCAGGGGGCGGGCCCGCACACCCTGGGGGTGCAGGCCCACGCACCACAGGCAGGCCTGCACATGCGCCCTGCACCTGAGGGCAGTGCCGCACGCCCGGGCCTAGGGCGCCGAAAGGGCTCGGGCCGGCCCTGGTTGGAAGAGACCTCCAGAGGTCATTGAATCCAACCCCCTGCCCAAAGCAGGACCAACCCCACCTAAATCATCCCAGCTGGGGCTTTGTCAAGCCGGCACTTAAAAATTCTAGGGATGGAGATTCCACCACCTCTCTAGGTAACCTATTCCAGTGCTTCACCACCCACCTAGTGAAATAGTTTTTCCTAATGTCCAACCTAGGTCTTCCCCTCTTGAGACTATTGTTCCTTATTTTGCCATCTGTTATACTGAGAACAGCCTCTCTCCATCCTCTTTGGAACCTCCCTTCAGGCAGTTTAAAGGCTGCTATCAGATCCCCCCTCACTCTTCTCTTCTGTAGACTAAAAAAGCCCAAATCCCTGTAAGTCATGTGCTCCAGCCCCTTGATCATTTTTGTTGCCCTCCTCTGGACTTTCTCCAATACGTCCACATCTTTTCTGTAATGGGAGGCCCAGAACTGGATGCAATACTCCAGATGTGGTCTCACCAGTGTCGAATGAAGGGGAGTAATCACTTCTTTAGATTGGCTGGCAGTGCTTCTCCTAATGCACCCTAATATGCCGTTAGCTTTCTTGGCTACAAGGGTACACTGTTGACTAATATCCAGCTTCTTATCCACTGTAATCCCCAGGTCCTTTTCTGCAGAACTGCTGCTTAGCCATTCAGTCCTCAGCCTGTCACAATGGGATTTTTCCATCCTAAGTGCAGGACACTGCGCTTTTTCTTGTTGAATCTCATCAGATTTCTTTTGGTCCAATCCTCCAATTTGTCTAGGTTACTCTGTACCCTATTCCTACCCTCCAACATACCTACCTCTCCCCCTAGCTTAGTGTCATCTGCGAACTTGCTGAGGGTGCAATCCAGGTCCTTAATAAAGATGTTGAACAAAACCGGCCCTAGAACTGACCTTTGGGGCACTTAGAGCATTTAGTTTTAAGTACATCTGTACTTTTTACATCTGTACTAGTTTTAAGTACTTTCAAGTAGGAATAAGAGATCCTCCAGAAAAGGGCTTATTTTCCAGAGAATCACGTCTAGACTGGTGCTTTTCTCCGGCTTATCCCCCGCGGATTTGCAATTGCGATGTGTCTCATTAGCATCCCTTTTCCGGAAAAGGATGCCAATGTAGACACAGCCGTAGTCAGAAAATGGGAGATGTTCTCCACTAAATATTTAGCAAAAAATTATTTTTACACATTTTTGTGGAAATTTTCCATCTTTGAATGAAAACCTGAAAATCAAATCTGATTTTGTTGTTGTTTGTTGTTGAAAAACTGGAAAATTAAATGTGCACATAGGAGTAGCCTATTCTGGCACACAGGGTAATAAACCTCCTGTCACAGAGGCATGGCCCACTTTGTTTCTGTCCTTCTGCTGAGTCAGCAAACCCTGTTCAATCACAATTCACAGGCTTTTTAACCCATTTCTCAACCCTCTATTTGTGTAGCAACTGACCAATCACATCCGAGACACCCTACCAGGCCTACGGAACAAACTTCAAAGCCAGCTTCTCTCCATTGAGAAAGAGGTGGAGGAGTACAAGAACTTCCGCCCTGATGATCCTGCCAGGAAGACCAAAGCTCTGCTTCAGTAAGTAAATCCTATTGCCTGTCCCTCCTGGGAGAAGTGTACCTTACAATCTTTCCCATTCATTTATTTTTCTTCCTAGGATGGTCCAGCAGTTTGCTGTGGACTTTGAGAAGCGTATTGAAGGCTCTGGGGACCAGATTGATACCTATGAGCTGTCTGGAGGAGCTAGGATCAACCGCATCTTCCATGAGCGGTTCCCCTTTGAACTGGTGAAGGTACCACCACTCCCTCTCTGATCCTTCTCCCACACTTACCTGCCTATTTTCTCTCCATCTGCTGTCGTTTCTTCCCTTGTCCTCACCTGCCATCGTCTCTTCTTTGCACCTGTTGCCTCCTCTTTAATTGGCTTCTTCTTTCCGCCTTGAACATGTCTTTACTTTCATCATTTTCTCTTCTTCACTTGTCTATCTCACCTGCAGTTGTCTTTTTCTTTCACCACTCCTCTCTGTTCTTTGCCTCCTTTTCACTCACCTCCATTCCCGGTTTCTCTTCTCCCTCACTCCGTGCCAGAGTCTGATTCCTCCTTCAGCACCCATCCCCGTATCTGAACATGGCTTCTCTCTCAATCCGTGTCCTTGTTGCAGAGCATTAGGTTATGTAAAACCTAATGGCTATGTCTACGTTGCGCGCTCTTGTGCAAGAACATATGCAAATGAGATGCGGCGATGAATATTGCCATGCCTCATTTGCATACTTAATGAGCTGCCATTTTGTGCAAAAAAACCCTCTTGCGCAAGAACCGTTCTGCCTGAAAATAAGCAGCAGAATGGCTCTTGCGCAAGAGGGTGTTTTAGCGCAAAAAGGAGCAGAGTAAACTGCTCTTTCTTGTGCAAAAGCCCGTTGCACAAAAATGGTGGCTCATATTCATTGCCACGCCTCATTTGCATATGTTATTGTGCAAGAGAGCGCAATATAGATGTAGCCTAACTGTTCTGATGGTGTGGATCCCAAAAGCTGAAACACAAACAAAATTAGTTTGTTCACCTTATCTGAAAGAGTCTTTAATCAGCTGAATGTCCATGTAAAAAGGTAGAGTTAGATCTTTGTCTCTGGCTGATCTGCACACAGTGTAGTTTGGAGGCAGATACAGAAACAGCCGAAAACTGCATTTCGTTGATCCTGTTGATGCTGTGGGCTGAGCTGGTCCTGATGTGCCAGACTAAAATCTGCTCCAACTTTTTCTGTCTCTTAAACACTCCCAAGGGACTGAAAACACAGACAATGATCAGTGGGATGCAGGGACATCCTAATTATACTCCTTTTGCTACAATCACAATCCATCTTCACATCTACATAAGCTGCAAAAAAGTGGGTGGTGTAAAAGCCCCTTCATTGGTTCAGCATCTTCTTGTGGTGTCCTTCTGGGACTGCATTCATTGGTGCTGAGGTCAAATCGCACTAGAAGAGAAACACACAGAGGCTCCGCTGGATGAAAGAATCTGGCCCAAAACATATAAAAGCTCCTGAGGAAAAGGTGATGAAATTACCGTTTCTTGATGTTTTTTAGAACAGAAAGGAACCAATCTGCTCTCCTATATTTTCAATTATTAGTATTTAAATTATGATCCTTTCCATATGAATGAGATGCTGAGGCCTTGTCAGTGAAAGACAAGAGCCTGCATCGTGTTTGAGGATGTTATTACTTTTTGTAAGGCTACGTCTAGACTGCAAGCCTCTTTTGAAAGAGGCTTTTTCGAAAGATACTTTCGAAAAAGCTTCTTTCGAAAAAGAGCATCTAGACTGCAATCTCTTCTTTCGAAAAAGTGAGCCGCTTTTTCGAAAGAGAGTACCCAGGCAGTCTGGATGCTCTCTTTCGAAAAAGCCCTGTTTGCATTCAAGAACGCCTTTTTTCAAAAGAGCACTTTCGAAAAAAGGCATTCTTCCTCGTGAAATGAGGAGTACCGCCGTTAAAAGAAAAGCCGTGTTCTTTCGATTTAATTTTGAAAGAACGCGGCTGTAGTCTAGACGCAGGTGTAGTTTTTTCGAAAAAAGGCTATTTTTTTCGAAAAAACCCTGCAGTCTAGACACAGCCTAAGTGAGAGAGAAATCCAGTTTTTATGAGTGTATTGGGAAAAACAGATGCTGAGATCGCATGCAAAACCTTGGGGACTCAATTTTGTGTTTTTAGTTTTTCATTCCCTTGGTCCTGTGCTTCTAAGGACATTTGTATAGTCTATGAGGGCTGCGCCGCACCTCTGGGAGTATGTCCACTGCAGCCAGGGATATATTTTCCAATTTGAGTAGATGAATATGTGTGAGCTTCAATTGAGCTAACATGCTAAAAATAGCAGTGTAGCTACAGCAGCACAGATAATGGGACAGTAATGCTGCCCGCATACAATCCTATCTGAGACCCTAGGTACATCCTTGGGCAGCTAGTCAGACCCATTGCCCATGCCACAGCTATTTTGATCATAGTGGCTGATTTGGAGTTAACATGTACATCTATCTGATCTGGAAGTTACACTCCAGTTTGGGTGGAGATGTACACTTGACAGTCAAGCCCTAAGCTGGGGTGGGCAACCTACATCCAGGGGGCGGGCTTGCCTAGATCCAGCCCCCGAGTCTTGGGGCTCTCCACGCTAGCATTGGGGAGCAGTGCTGGTGCTCAAGCTCTGCACCCCTCCACCTCGCATCCTCTCCATGGGGCTGGAGTGCCAGTGCCATCTCCACGCTGTGGGTGGGTGGGAGCCCTGAGCCTCGCTGGCTGGAGTCAGGCAATCCGAGGTTGGATCCAACCCATAGGCTCTGCATGGTGGGGTTGAGGAAGAGGCTTTGTGCAGTGCTGCTGCTCCTCCCCTCAGCAGGGGAAAGAGCAGCTCTGCCTGAAGATTTTCTGTCACACTGATTGGCCATAATTGAGGCCAATAGGAGTAGCAAGGGGCGGTGCTTGGGAGTGGCGGGGAACAGAGCCATGTTCTTCCCCAGAGAGCTGTGCCAGACAAGTGAACCTCTACCCTGCTCCTGCACTCTACCTCCCGCCCAGAGTCCCCACCCCAGCCCACTCCTGTACCCCCCTTGTTCCTGCACCCTATCTTCCACCCAACCCCCAACCTGCTCCTGTACCCCCCCTTTGCCCAGACCCTGCACCCCCACTCAAATCCTACACCCTCCCAGACTCCCCAGCCCAGTGCTGTATCCTCCTTCCCACCCAGACTTCATACCTAAGCCTGCTTCCCAGCAACCTCTGAACCCTTCCTTTTGGCCCCTCAGAGCTTAGGGGGGCCACAAAATCTACTAGCCCAGGCCCTCCTAGGCTCTGGTGTGTGAAGGGAATGTGAGCAGTGTCTTTCTGCTTCTCAGTTGGGGGGGGGGAGTCATTGAGGGGTTTGTTTTGTTTTGTTTTGTTTTTGCTTCTCACTTTTGTGCAGTCCCCTGACTCATTCTTTTGAGAGTTAGCAGCCTCTGACCCTAAATAGGTTCCCCACTTCTCCTAAACTGAGTTCCCAGAGTTAACACATCATGGCTACGTCTACACTGGCCCCTAATTCCGGAAAAGTCATGCAAAGCAGGTAAGTCAGAATAGGGAAATCCGCGGGGGATTTAAATAAACATGTCCGCCGCTTTTTTTCCGGCTTGGGGAAAAGCCGGAAAAAAGCGTCTAGACTGGCGCGATCCTCTGGAATAAAGCCCTTTTCCGGAGGATCTCTTATTCCTACTTTAAATCCCCCACGGATTTCCCTATTCTGACTTACCTGCTTTGCATGACTTTTTCGGAATTAGGGGCCAGTGTAGACGTAGCCCATGTGAGTGCTGGCACCAGGATCCTCATCGCTTGGCTTCCATTCTTGTGCTCCAGCCAGCAGGCCACAATCTTTCACCACACCTCCTCTTGCAAGGCTGTGTCATGACCTGGCTTCTGTATCTGCATGGTGTTCTGTTAACTAGGTTGCTGGACCGCTCCTGACAATCTTTTCTTCTGGTGCAGATGGAGTTTGATGAGAAGGAGCTCCGGCGAGAGATCAGCTACGCCATCAAGAACATCCATGGTATCAGGCATGTATCATGCACTAGGCAGGCCCACGACTGCAGAGCCTTGTAAATATCTCTAGACCTTCCAAACCAAGTTGAGAAGACTTCAGAGGTACGGTAGGTCAGCAGAGGGGAGGAAACACCAGTTTGGGCCACTGGCAGCCAAACAGCCTTGCATTGGGAGGTTCATCCAAATCAGTTTGCTTTCTGTTTCCATGTGAGAACTGCAGGAGTCTAAAAGGTAAAATTGCCTTGGTGATCAGCCTTTCCCCTCCATCTTCTGTGCTGAGTGTGAGAAAGAGGAAGTGAAGTCACATTGTATTAAGAGAAAGAGACATAAGAAAGGGTGCTGCCACACCCCTGTACACATTTTAATTTCTTAAAATATTGTTTTATTTTCCTAGATCTACTAGGGTTCAATCCTGCAAACTGGTGCTAAGCACCCTCAACCATCAGTGACTTCAGTGGGAGCTGAGGGTGCTCAGTGCTTTGCGGGGCCAGGTCCCAAAAACATGGTAAATAAACATCCTCGCATTTGTGATAGAGAAGATGAATGATGTGGGGCTTATGTTGCCTAACAGGCAGCCTTACCTGAGAGATGCTGAGCTACCGCAACTCCCTCTGTAGTCAGTGGAGATGGTGGAAGCCCAGCGCCCCTATTAAATGCTGGAGAATTCAAATTGGTGATCAGATATTGACAAGTTTGTTTTCTTCTCCTTCGGCTCATTCCATCTGATCTAGCCAGGCTCATGTGAACAATATTAGTATTTATTGTTCCCTTATTATAATTTAAGAGTTTCTTGTACCTGTCTAAAGGCTATATTCACCTGTTATATTCACCTCTCTGCAGAGGGCCATGCCTGCCCTAATGGCTGAAGTGGTGCATAAGCATCGGGTTGGTCCCTGTGTTGGTTATTTGAAGCCCTAAGGGACCATTTTTGTGAAGTGTTGAGCACCCTCCATTCCCGTTGATTTCAGTGAGGTCTTGTTTGTGGGTTTTATGGTTCCTCCAGCCCAATGAGCTGGGTGTCAATGATACAAGTGCCTGCTCTGAAATGTGTGTGTAATGCTATGACATTCTCCTTGCCCCTCTGTTCCCCCCTCCTGCCTTGTCTTGTCCCCCGCCCTGGGTGTTTAGAACCGGTCTCTTCACGCCCGACATGGCCTTTGAGACCATTGTGAAAAAGCAGGTGAAGAAGATTAAAGAGCCTTGCCTGAAATGCGTGGACATGGTCATTTCGGAGTTAATCAGTACCGTTAGACAGTGCACCAAGAAGGTAACCAGAGGGAACATGGAGTTCACACGCTAACACCCGCCCACCACCTGCTCGCTGGCTGAAGCACAGCACTGTGATCTGGGCAAGGAGCTGCCTGCAGTGAAACTTGGTGTTTCTAACCCACATCCTCAGCAGCATGACTAGACCTGAGTGATACTAGCCTGGGGCATTACAGCCAACCAGCCAATCAGAAAGAGATGGGATAGCGGATAGGAGTGGGTTACTTCCAGTCTCCCCCATTCCATTAGAGGCATCTTTGGAACATTGGGGTCTCTGCCCACGTGTCCACACCAAAAACACAACCCCCTCCAGTGGCTCTCAAATACAAGCCTTAACTCTTTATAATAGACAAGGTTATTTCTTCCTCTTGAGGCTGATGGTTTATATCGGATTTTAATTTAATTTTTTATTTTAATTTCCAAGTCAAAATCTGGGGTATAGATTTCCCATGGGAACTTCTAGGAATTTGGTATCATCCAATCTGACCCCTAATTGACCATCACAGAGGAAAAGGGTACATGAACTCACAAATGTGGAGGATCAGGATTCAAAGGTGAAGTAGGTTTTGCTAATGTGGAATGAACAAGCTGTGGGCTGGGCTCCCTTGCAGGGAGATGTTCCTAAGCTTGTGGGGTTTGGCATGGTTTCTGATTGGCTTGGTTTGTATCTTGTTTGGAAGGAGCAGTACATGGCTGAGAAGAAGGAAAGTGGAGGTGTCCACTCTGTCCTGAGCTCCTGCCTGACCATTCCTCCTGCTGTGATGGGGTGCCCTGGAGCTGGAGGGTTAATTCCCTGGATTCTTGATTGACTGTTGTGGGCTTCAGGGGGATGTGGGAGAGAACCAGTCAGTGTTCTGTCCACCCTGCAAATATTGCAATACTCATGTCTCAGTTTGGGCTTAGATTTAATGTTGAGAAGCAGTGCGAGAGAGACGGGGAGACTGCCTGCCATTTTGCTCAGCCATGGCCTGCTGCTTCAGACAGGTCCAGGTACTGGTGAAAGGGCATCTCAGCCAGAGTGTGGTAGCATGAGCACTGGAGACTCTTGGTATGTCGGATCACTGCTGGCCGTTGAGGAGCAGGTAACTGGGCAAGGGCAGTACACAAGGCTCCCAAAGGAGATTGAAACCTTGGATTTGGGAGGAAAAAGGAGCGGGAGGGGCTGTGGTGAGTCTCAGGTTTGCTCTGGCAGAGGCTGCATTGCTTGGGGCTGGAGGTCTCTGCAGCGGTGCTTAGGCTCACATACATGTGCTTTGTCCCAGTCCAGAGTGGGAAAGCAAAGTGGGCAGACAGGGACAGATTCCTCAGGTTTCTAGAATGCTGTGAGGAGCTTCCTTTTCCTACCCTGCTGTTCTCTGTTGGGGTGTGTAGCTGTGGGGAGCACCCAGAAAATTGCCCTTAGTGCCTGTGACAGGTAAGCACTGACCCTTGGGCTGCCAAGTAACCAGAGTCATCCAGTAACTGGATCTGACGGGCCCACTTTTCATGTGCCATTAGTTCTCTCTTGGTTAGCTTTACCATCCATCAACCATCATGTAAGTCTCTATCACATCTTCCCTCTTCCCCCCATGAATCATTCTCCCCATCTTTCTTTCTTCCTTTCCCATTTCTCTCTATTTCCCCTTCAGTGTCTTGTTTTTCTCTTTCCTTTGCCTTGAGGAATGAATTTACAACAGTTGTGAAATCATCTCTGTCATAGACATATTTCATCTGGCAATAAGGTGATACATGGTGCCCGAGAGAGGCAAATGTAAGGATCAGGGAGGACAGAAAGAGATCATAGGATGGAGATGATGGGAACTCAGTAGTCCACAGCCACCTCTAATGGAGTGAGGGAGGCAGGACAGGTGTGGTACACAGAGCAGGCCTGCTGCCGGTGAGGTGGGTATGTGCAAAGGGAGCAACTGCACAGAGCAGGCCTGCTGACAGGGGAGGCTAAAGGGGCAATTGTACAGGGTGCCTACTTCAGCAATGGTGGCCGACGAGCTCCAGGCCCCTTTGAACTACATATTGCAAGATCACCACTTCATGCAGCTTTGAAGGCTGGGGGGCCCAGTGCTGCCGTTCGGGTGGCACTAAGGGTGTGTCTAGACTACCTAGTTTTGTCGACAAAAGTGGACTTTTGTCGACAAAACTATACCAGCGTCTACACTACCGCTGAGGTCTGTCGACATAACGTCGACAGAACTCAGCAGTTTTGTCGACGCTGGTAAACCTCATTTTACGAGGCATAACACCTTCTGTCGACAGAACTCTGTCGACAGAAGGTGTTATTGCCTGTAACGTTGCGTCCAGACTACGGAGTTCTGTCGACAAAGCAGCTTGCTTTGTCAACAGAACTCAATGTGTCTGGACGCTCTTTGTCGACGGAAGTTTTGTCGACAGTATCTGTCGACAAAACTTCCGTCGACAAAATGCGGTAGTCTAGACGTACCCTAAGAGCTGACTGCCATAGACCATGCCCCTTCCAGGGGCGTGGAGATGGGGCCTCCTCCCACCTTATCCTGGGGGCCGCAGTGGCTGTCAGCCCCCTGACACAGGGTGACACACACATTGGAAAGCAAGAGGAAATGTTGGAAAGAGGTGGATGAAGAGGAACAAATTTAGCTGGGGAATGGAGAGAGTCCGTTATAGGAAGAGCTAGTGGGCGAGATTATCATCTCAGTTAAAAAAAAAAATTGGGGGTGGGGATCAGAATTTTTATGCTGTTTTCTTGTTAGTGTAGTGGGCTTGGGTCCCATAGTGGTTCAGAGGCTAGAAATTGAGTTTGGCTGCAGTTCATGTGTACATGTATGGAAATGTGAGTGGTAACCATTTTTACTTTAAAGAAACAAACTGGTGATGTTTTTAAAATGTTGTTCAGGGCACTAAATGAAAGAGACAGTTTGCACGAGGGTCCCTTTCCTGGGCCCCATCCGCAGAATCTCATTCAAATATTGTGTGAGACATCTCAAGGGGCTCTATTGAACTTCGCAGGAAGGTTGAATCTCTGAATAGGCAGTGAAATCTGGAACATCTTTCCCGCTAGGGATGTTAAATCAGTAAAACGGTAACCGGGTAAGTGCTGAAAATCTCAGCGGTTACATGCACTGCGGGGTCTGCAGTATAAAGCTTAAATAGGAGCCTCCCCAGGAGCAGGGCTGCCTGCCCCTGCCCGCTCCACTCCCAGGGAGGGGACTTCACTGCGGCAGCTAAGCCACTTCCCCAGCAGCAGGAAGAGTTTAACCGATAACATTAACTGATAAGTATCCGCTTATCAGTTAATCGGTTAAACTCTCACATGCCTATTTCCTGCCACATGCAGGGGCCATTTTAATTTCAAGGGCACTGCTCTTTCCCCAAGAGCTTCATTGTCAACCTGACAGACTCTGAGGCTTAGTCTATACAGCAGAGTTTTTGCGCAAGAAGCCTTTTGCAGAAGGGTTCTTGTGCAAAAACTTCTTGCACAAAAGCACGTCCAGCTCTCAAAGCACGTCCACACCTCCCTTTTTGCACAAGAGCTGTAGCGCAAAAAGGAGTTATTCCTTGTTGGGAGAGGAATAACTCTACTGGCAAAAGCCCTTTGTTCTGTCGATTTTCTCACGCAAAAACGCGCTTTAGGTGTGGATGCTCCTCCAGTTTTTCCGCAAAAACGGCTGTTTTTGAGCAAAAAAACTTTTAGTGTAGATATAGCCTGAGAAGTGCACCTGGGTGGAGAAGGGGCCCTAAAGAAATGACACATCCCAACATGAACACAGCTGCTTTTCACAGTAGCTGTGAGTGCCGTAATTCATGGGAGAGGGCTGTGCTCGAGATGGGGGGGGATGTATGATTGGGGTTAAAGTATCTCTGGATAGCTCTTCCATATTAATGACCACATGCCAAATCCTCAGATGCTGTAAGTCTGCAATTCTCTGTGGATTTCTATAAGGCTGTGCTGATTTACACTTGCTGTGAATCTAGCTAAGGTTTAGTCAGATGCGCCAGGCACCCATCATTTAGTCGTAGTATGTAAAGGAGACAGTGTCAAGTTAAAAATGATGTAACATCCACTCGCTGTGCAGGAGCAGACAAAAAAGCAACAGAACGCTTTTGCGCAAGGGAGCGTCCACACTGCATGGACACTTTTGCACAAGAAAGCTCTGATAGCGATTCACAGAATGGCCATCAGAGCACCTGTGCTTTTTCCAATAGGGGTTTCTTGCGCAATAACCCCTCCAGAGCGTCCACATCTCCCTTTTTGCGCAAGAGCTGTAGCGCAAAAAGGAGTTATTCCTCGTGGGAAGAGGAATAACTCTACTGGCAAAAGCCCTTTGGTTCTGTCAATTTTCTTGCGCATAAATGCGCTTAAGGTGTGGACGCTCCTCCAGTTTAAAAAGGGATAGAGACTAAGACAGAGAATATCTTATTGCCTCTCTGTAAATCCATGGTACACCCACATCTTGAATACTGTGTATAGATGTGGTCACCTCATCTCAAAAAAGATACATTGGCATTGGAAAAGGTTCAGAAAGGGCAACAAAAATGATTAGGGATTTGGAACAGGTGCCATATGAAGAGAAATAAAAAAAACTGGGACTTCTCAGCTTACAAAAGAGAAGACTAAGGAGGGATATGATAGAGGTCTACAAAATCATGACAGGTATGGAGAAAGTGACTAAAGAAATGTGATTGACTTGTTCCCATAACATAAGAACTAGGGATCACCAAATGGAATGTATGGGTAGCAGGTTTAAAACAAACAAAAGGAAGTTTTTCTTCACTCAGTGCACAGTCAACCTATGGAGCTCCTTGCTAGAGGAAGTTGTGAAGACCAGGACTTTAACAGGGTTCAAAAAAGAACTAGATACATTCATGGAGGTTAGGTCCATGAATGGCTATTAGCTAGGATGGGTAGGAATGATGTCCCTAGCTTCTGTTTGTCAGAGGCTGGGAATGGGATCACTTGAAGACTGGAGAGGGATCACTTGATGATTCCCTGTTCTGTTCACTCCCTCTGGATCATCTGGCATTGGCCACTGT